CCCCCGCGCAGCCCCTGCTCGGCCGGCCGGTACGGCTGCGGGGGGATCCGCACCACCCCGTCCTCCTCGCACGGCTTCTGCCCCAGCTCAGGCAGGGGCTCCAGGAAGTTGGGGCTCTCCTTCCCGATACAACAGGCAGCATCCACCTGCACTAAGCTTTCCTGCTTTGAGATGTCATCCTGCCCATCATCGACGCCCGGGTTCAGTCTGGGGGTGAAGCGAAGGCCTCCCTGGTCGTCATCTGCGTGGGGCTCCTCATTAATGGCACTTGGGTAGCTCGCTTTGAAATCCTCTGGGATGAGGGACTCAGAGGGACACGTGCTGAGCACCTCGATGCTGTCCTCGCTGACCGTGCGCCGGCTGCCCACCTTGCTCCGGCCGGCCTGGGGGCTGGGAATGACGGGCAGGCTGGCCTGGCTCTCCGATTTTGTCAGCCCAGATCCCGATTTCTCCGTTCCGAGCACCTCGATGCTCTCCCCGCTACTGATGCTGCCTTTGATATCTGCATCCAGATAGTCCAGGTTCTCCTGGTGCTCAGACATCATGGATTCAGACATTTTGGGTCCTTCAGAGTCCTCAATTTCCTGCTCCATCTTGATGGGCACACACTCCACGCTGGACTTGTAGGAGCCCAGGCTGATGACCACTTTAGGAGCAAGGGACTCTTCCGAACACTTTTCATCTGTGGCATCTTGGCCGAGCCCCTGGCAGCCTCTGTACTGTTTTTCAGGAGGTTTTTCATCCAGGAAAGACACATCCTCAAAGAGGAAGTTGGTGACACTCTGTTGCTTTAGGAGAGCTCGGCTTATCTGCTCTGTCAAGAGGTAACACACATCACCTCGAAAAGTCCTCTCGATATGGTGCAACTGGTCAAGGGTCTGGGTGAAAAAATAAACATCACAGAGTTCCTCCAGTGTCTTCAGCTTCTTGTCAAAGCACTTGGCAGACTTGGCTTTGATGAGTTTGGGGGTGTAGGATGGCACGTGGGTGTAAAGGGCAGTTTCACCGGGCTCAGCAGGGTCAGAGGCAGTTGGGTCCTGATCGTTGCCCACATCAGCCCGGTCCAGGGCACACTCTGGCTCGTAGGGGTGGAATTCAGAGTCCTTCAGCTTCCTGTAGGGATAGGACCGGAT